AACCTCTTCTTTTGTTTTCAGTAGATTCCGATTAGTGCTGTGCTGCTAACTACATTCATTTAAATAGTGTCTGTGCAGGGAAATACATCTACCGTATTTTTCGCTCTATAAGACACACTTTTTCCCCCTCAAAAGTAAGGGGAAATGTCTGTACATCTTATAGAGCGAATGTGTGTGTGCCCGACGCCCAGGATGCTGCCGGCCCGCCTGCACCACGTGGCACCACCTGGCCGGTACGCGCTCAGTGCGCCCTGCTCCACCGCCTCCTCCGGCGCAGGTGAGAGCTGTGCCGCTCAGGGGAAGGCGTGCAGAGGAGGAGGAGCCATGGGCTTTAACCCGCCAGCCGCATGGAGAGACGGACTGCTCACCCCCACCACCCGGGAACTGCTCACCCCCACCGCCTGGGAAGACCTGCCACCGCGCCGCCTGGAAGACCTTCACCGGCACGCTGCTGGCCCCACGTGGCACCACCTGGCCGGCACGCGCTCGGCGTGCCCTGCTCCACTCCCCTCCTCCGGCGCAGGTGAGAGCTGTTAATCACAGGTCGCTGTGTGTTTTCAAATGGCAACCCGTCTTTTAATGAAGTCCATGGGGAAGTGATGGGGAATGTGCCTGTGATTATCAGGAAGCTTTCCATGGATCAGTTCTGTTAGTTGATCAGATACATTTTTTTAGGATCAGTGGATATTTGAACAGCATTACCTTCGTGTATGAAGTTTATTCTTCAAAGGCTACTTAGTCCGCTGTGTGTTTGATTTACCGTACAATATCTCATCTTTTGTCAGAAGTTTTTTTCTATTATTTACTAGTAGGGCAGCGTGGACATTACTGGCTTTTTTTTAGATTTGTTACTGAATTGTCTGCAGCAGCTCTTGTATAACTGGTGTAGATTGTGGATTCCTTCAATAATTCCACTACTGACTAAGAAAGTGATGTCAGTGATTGTGAGCAACAGAGCTTCATAAATTCTGACTCTAGTGATGATGAGGTCTATGGGTTCAACGAAAACTAGAAGAGTACTCGAACTTTAAAGTCTCTCTTTTGTTAATGACAGTGATGATGGTTCTTAATGCCACTGTTGACTGCTGTTCACTTTACAAGGTTGAAATACGGTATTACTGTATTCTGTTATAGTTTATTAAATAGTTTAGTAAACCATTTGATTCAGAATATTTTTTTTCTTGTTTTCCTCCTCTAAAAACTAGGTGTGTCTTATGGTCAGGTACGTCTTATAGAGCGAAAAATACAGCACTTTCTGGATCTAAACCACAGGGAACTTCGCTTTATTTCAAAGATCTCAAGTTGATACATTGAATGATAAGGCTCATCAGATTGTTCCAGGCATCTCTCGTTCATATGAAGTTCTGCACTAAGATCAGATGTATGTATTGGGTTGATGTTTTTCTTGTATAACTTGTATTCACAAAAGGAATTGCCATGTTTGGAAAGTCTGGTGATGTTTTATTTTAAGGCTCTAAACTGCATGGCAGAGATCCCTGTAATACATGTGCTTATGCTTTGAAATGCATGGTAAGAGAGAGGGCCCATTTTTATTGTCTAAGGAAAAAATATACCATATATATTTGAGCAATACTTCAAAGAATTATGAAAAATTTTGGCCTGTATTAAAGCCTGGATACTGAAAGAATTCTGTAGAGTTTACACTACCCGCTTAACAAAGTAGACTGCTTGAGACTCTTTATCAAACAAGTTTTGCAACAGCAAACTTGCATTTTCTCAAAAAAAAAAAAAAATCACTTACTGGAATCTATTCCAGTAAGATAAACATAGTTTATCAGCTTTTTACTCATAATATCATTCTTCTTTCAGAAATCATTTGCTTGCAAGGTTAGATGTTTGTTATGGTTAACCACTCTATTGAGCTTTGGGTTTTGGTTTGGTTTGGTTTGGTTTTATGAAAAAGATTTGCCATGAGCTCTTTACTTTTGAACAAAGTATAACTACTTATACGAGCGTATATGACCCATTTTCCTAGTCACCCACCATTGGCTAGGGCCATTGTTGGCTGACTCGCCATTTTTGAATTAAACAGAAACTATTAGTAATGTGTAATGGTGGCAATATATATACAGCCTTAGAACCAGCTTCTAAGCCAGAAATAGTTTGTGGAGCTGCTTGCTGATTGAGAGTGCTTTGAGTTGAGCTTTCCACTTCTATAAAGAAAATGAGCAGCAAGCCTGCAATCTTTAAAGGCAACACTCTAGGCATATGACTGGGCAGTAAGAAATTGTGAGGTATGCAGGATTTTATGATGGTGGGAAAAGAAATAAGTTGGAGATAGTGTCCCTTCTTCCTGTGGCAATGAACCTCTTCTAGTTAAGCAAGCCTGATAAGATAGCTGTTACCTGTTGCCATAAATCTGTTCTCTTCTTATGCATATTTCTAAGGGAAACCCGCACTGATGCCTCCACAGGGTTACCCATAGTTAATTCAAGATGCTTTTCAACCTATAAATGATATGTTAATTCGACACTGAGAAAAGCTCATCATTTGTAAACTGGGTGAATCCTCTGAAGACAGGATACTTACAAGGCAAGACGGCCCTTGAAAGATAAGCTACTGCTTATCAGAAGTGACAGGATTTATGAGCCCTGTGCTTCTGATGGTCCCTGCCATATTTTGAAAAGCACTTAAAGAAAAACCAAAACAAAAAATGGAATAGCCTAAATAGAAGGAAGGATCAATCATGAAATCAGAGTTGGACTTAGCTATCTTTTAAGACAAAGTCAAGGGCTACATAGACCATCTGTGAACATTCAGTTCCAGTGGACCAAATCATGATTCCCCAGCAATGTATTTCACTGTAACAGATTATGCAATAACAGATTATGTACAGTTTTCCAGTAATGAGGTGTCCATCAGTGGAACAGCCAGATTATGATCCAGTATTTTCCTTGGATACATTCATGGCAAAAAGCAAGTATGCATAGTATCTCTGAAAGAGGTAATATTTCTTAGTGAAGGCTACTGGATATGCTTGTAGAGTATATTAAAATTTATCTGTTACTGATTGGTAACCCTGGAGAGAGAACTGACAAGGATCTGTTCCAGAAAGTTTGCCTAAGAAGACATTTGAAATGAATTGAGGATGCTCTCCTTAAGCAAGGCCTAATATGAGCCATTATCTTGGGATAACAAGCCCTTAATTCATTCAGTCTCTAATATTATTACTTGAGGAAATGAATCATTTTGGCTAGAAAGGATGAAATAAAAAGGTCAACAAACCCGAAAAAATGTGCTCACCTTAATGTTAGTAGTACATTCTCAAGGTGTGTACTACCAACGAATATATGGTAGTTAATATATGGTATTAAATATGTATGGTATTAATGCCCACTGACTCTGGCCATATCCACTGACAGCTGCATGTTCAGTGTTAGTGTTGTGGGAGGACTATGCAGGTACATATGTAGAATGGGGTACATATATGGTAAAGGGATCCTGCTTTGGCTAGCATTCCTGATCATGTGGATGAGTCCCATGAGTATAGCCCTCCTAGTCACTACTGGCAAGTATGTAGATATGGACAGTGCATTAATTACTATCTGGGGTGTTGACTAATAGCTTCAATCCAGTTCACTCAATGCAATGTGAACGGGTCCTTGCGCATATGTATGGTCAAATGTGGACAAAACAAGATGGTACACAGAGGTTTGTACATGTGTGCGCAAAGCACTCTGGAATTCCTGAATTGTCTAGGCAATAATCCAAACTATTATTTGGATCTAGCTGCTCACAATCAAGTTGAGAAAAATGTAGTGGATAAAACTATCCTAAAAGAGCCTTATAGAGCAGCACTGCAATTCCTTGGGCAATGCAGGATTGTTTTTATAAAAATGGCTGCTAGTCTGGCCTATAGAATGGTGCAGATATTGGGCCTAATCTTCTTACAAAGAAGCCAAAACTGTTGTGGCTTCTTTGTAGTCAAATAAGAAGTAGTCCCTTCTTATCTGAGTCAAATAGTTTTGACTCAGATAAGAAGTGATTAAAATCTACAGCTCACATGCCAAGTCCAGTGGACCTGGAGATAAGCTAGGCAGTTTCTGAGGATCAGACATTCCAAATACTGTGGGAAAGTGTGGTGAACATGCTGGTGTGGATGGGGTCTAACCCAGAATCATTAATTCCAGGGTGTGGGATCAAGTTAAGAGGGTTAACCAGTTGAGAAGTATCAGACCCTTCAAGTGACTTGCCCTTAAGCAAGATGATCCACCCTGAATGTGCAGGTTGCTAATTTAATTGGGAAAGGAATCAACTTCCTATGGTTAAAACATTTTTCTTCTAATGATCAATATTCTAATTTGCTTGTTTCTTTTAAAATTGAATTCTCCAATACCCTTCATTTGCAGGTTAAAGCTAGCCTAACTGGTCAACTATAACACAATGAAGACATCTAATTGGAAATTCTTTGTCCTGGTTGGCTTGGAAGGATGGGAAGAACAGCCACAATGATTGGATGCTCCTGTGTACTGTTGTGAAGGGGTGTGAAATGATGCTCAGTTCTCCGTAGTGCCACAATATAGGATATTTATTGTTTCAACAAACCTGACATTTTCATTACAAACAAGCCCTGCTGAAAGCAATAGAATATGATAGTATAGGCATGGCCAACTTATTTCACTGAGATCAACTGTACTTAATCAGAGTCCTCCCTTGGTTGCAGAATCAGTAAATCCGTTGACTGTACATGAATTATACTGACAGTATCTGTACATAGAATGAGGATTGATTATGTTTTGTAACAGTACATCAACTTTCACATGGACTATGCAGATGAGACCTATATGAGACCTTCAGTAGGAAGAAAAATAAGCTCTTTTCCAAGTTTTAAAAAAATAACTCCAGTGTCAGCAAAGGTAGGCTTAGTGTTACCTTCAAAATTCATCCTAATCTTTCAATGAATTTTAAATCCTTCTTAGTTCCAGTTTGATGGACTTTCAGGACAAACTTACATTTTTCTAAGAGAAGAAAAAAGATACCTTGGAATTTGTCACTTGAAATGGACCTTTTGAACCATTTCTAACCAGAGAAGTCTGTCTCTCAACTGGCCTTGGAGGAATTAGATTTGTAGTGGGAGGTTGATTGTGCAAAACTGAAGACAAGCAGAGTTGTACGGTCTCCTTCAGAGCTTTAAGCTGTGATTCCTGAGGGAGGAAATGTCAACAAATTTTAATGAAAGATTACATAGGGTGATACATTGAGTTATAGATAACTTTACATTAATGAAAAACTTACATGAGTTGCTGCTGCTCCACTAGCTGTTCCCCAGCTGTTAGAAAGACAATTAGAACAGCTAATACAAGCAACTCATTGCCTAAGGAAGTTGTATTGACTTCTGCAATGCCTTATAGATTGACTTCCATAACATCTTGTGCAAACAGAACTGAAATATTGGATTTGGCTTGTATAAAGATGAAAATGGGGTTTCCTCAAGATGTAGAAGCTTAGTGTTACTGCAATGACACCACTGGATGCAATTCTTTTCTCTGAACTTTCTACTTTCATGATTTGTTAAAACAACTTTTGCCAGCTAAAACAACAATATGAATGATTGGGTGCACAAATGACAATAGTAAATAGGTATGTGGCATGTCTCAAAGCACCATTTCTCAACAGTTTGGGGATTCCTGGCTTACTTAATTCCTCAGCTGTCCAGTGCTCATACACTGGGAAAAGGTACAGGACATCACTGGTTTGTCTACCTGTCCAGGATTTGGTGCCTGCCCTTTGACCATGACAGTTTCATATAAAACACAACCAATTGAGATACCCAATAACTTGGTGTGGTCCTAACAGCACTCTGTCCTACATTGGTGCTGGTATGACATACATCAAGCAGTGCAGCTGCCATGAAGTAGAAGCAGGGGTTTCACAAAAGGACATGCTTTGTCTTTCCATTTAGTGTTTCTAGGGATGGATGGATGTCAACCTCCATCTTTTCCTTCTTAACTATGGGTCATCTCAAGGTCTGATATACGAGCGTATCTATATATATGTCTATGTGTGTATGTGTGTGTTAAAATTGATAAGCTTGCTGTATACACTTCTCTGAATAAGTGCATTTTGTCTAGTATACACATTCAGACAAGCAATGTTCCCCATACAATGTACTTTTGAATGATACCAACGATGAATGATATTTTGAATAGATGACTTTTTCCATGCAGCTTTTGTTTGAAGAATGCCATTGAAAATTCAGAGAAGTGCAAACTGGAAAGGATAACTATGATTCCATTTGCACTGAGGTTCAAAAGTGGAAAATTCTGCTTTGCCTTTTTTTTTTTTGCTGTTGTAGCATTTTTTCCCACTGAACTGTCAGATGACTGTTGATGCTGACCCATCAGATTGCCTTGATCTGCTTTCTGTTCTTCCCTTGCATGTGATCTGTCTTCGACCAAAAAGTTATTTTTATTACATTTATCTGCTGCATCCAAATGTAAATTTTTCTAGGTGGCTTACAGGAAAAAACAACATTAAAGAGATTTAAATAAAAAATATAACTTTGAAAGAAACAGTTTAAGATACAATACAGCAAAGTTTACACTGAAAGGTTTGGACCACATGATTCAAAAGGCCAAGATGAACAAAAAAATCACCAAAAACAAAGCACAACCACCAAAACCTGAGCCAAACTAAAACCCCTGGATGCTCTCTGAGAAGGCTGTTACTGCTGTGCACTGTCCCTTTCTCTCTCTTCCTCTTCACGGGGGCACTGAGGTTAGGACCTTGAAAAGTAAGTTTTCAGTAGGTCCATATGGAAAAATGGTCTTTCAGGTGCAAAGACATTTGTGCCTTGAAAAGGTATGTCACTCACTTTCAACCAACCCTAGAAGGCAATTGGGAGGCAACACAGGTGATGGACAGGTATACTATGGTTAAGCTACCCAGTTCAAGTTAGTACAAAATGAATCCACTGGATTGGTAAATGCAGTTTTTGAACTGTTTTTAAAAGCAGCCCTATGAATGACACACTGCAATGGTCTACATTTTTTTCTTCACCTGGATACTATCACGATTGTGCTGTTTTCTGATAAGTCTCTGCATTGGCTTATCAGGCATCAGTGATAATAGTATAATAGTATCTTTCTGATACACACCTGTGTGGCATATGAACTAAATTAGTCATCCACCCATCCATTGATTGGCACCTTCCATATGGAAGCATGAACCATTATAGCAAGAAACTTCATTGGTGGCAGTTTGTTATGAGAGACTGCTGGTGTTGGAACATTTGCGATTATTGTGGTGTTGCCTCTGCTACTGGCTGAATATAGAATTGCACCTATATGTCATTGACATCAGCCAGAATAGCCACCCAGCCTTTACATTTTTCAAACAGGGTTGGGTATCATAGTGTCCTCCAGATGTTTGAGATGAAGACCCCCATAATTCCCTATCACTGGCCATGTTGGTTTGGATGCTGTCTAAACATCTGGAAAGCAGCAGAATATCCACCCTGTTTTAAAGTGCACCCCAAATTCTCAATCAATTTTTTGCATAGGACGCACTTCTTGGGGTGGGAAAATGATCTTTATTATTAATGCTAAGACTGAAATGTGACGCTGGATCACTCTTATGTCATCTGCATTCTGACATCTGAGGCTATAAAAGTCATAGCCATGCTGAGCATGATAAGATGAGTGGAAAGAGTGATGCCCTCCTTGATCATCCTCAGAACACAGATGCTGGTGTTCAAACTGTCACAGAGCTATGCCTTCACTCCCTTTCAGTGGGGATGCTTATTATGCATTCAATCAAAGATATGTCTACCTTTTTACAAGAAGATGATCCTCTGTTATCGTATCAGGCTGCACAATAGCTGCCTATTAATAGATCCAAAGATGTGCTCAAGAAGGTTCTTACTTTGTCAAGAGCTGCTTTTTCCAGTTCTTCTTTAGCAATTGCTAGTTTCTGTTCCAAGTCTGTAAGCTGCTGTGCCTGTGGGAAATTTAAAAACAAATTAGCTAGTATAAATTATAACCCCATTTTGCCCACTAAACTCATCAAACGTATCTGCAAGAAAAATAAAGATTTTACGTAGGAAGACTAAAAAAAAGATCATTTTTTAAAAGACCAAATTATTGTCAATGTTACAGATTTCTCCAAGCAATGTTATGGCTGTTGGGTGGAGAGAGCGTAGAGGTAGGTAGACCTAAGAAGGGAACAATTTTTATTACAGTATCTAAATCTAGCAGCTTTGCCTTGATGAACATTTTGCAATTGATTTAAAGAGAACTGAAAAATCCCCATTTTGCATTAAAATTTTAAAGTTACACTTTATTGCAGTGTTTCCATACCCTTGAAAATTTGGAAAACATGCTGTCATATGTTTATATGAAACTCAAGGTGAACAAAAATGAAAATAATTCTTTTATAGGAAAAAAAGAAAAAATGGAAAGGGAGTAATCATATTCATATTTAGATAAAACAGCTGTACAACTCCTTTGCTGGCTGAGGAATGCAGGAAGTTGTAGGATTTTTTTTTTTTTTTTGTCTCAGTATGCACAAGTTTGTACTCCAATTTATTTAAATCAGAAAAGCCACAGGAAACTTTTGTTTGCTCAGAACATTCCACACTTGCCACTTCTCTGTGAAAACTGTCACCCCGCTCCCTTAGCTGTTTGTTTGTTTCATTTTGTTTTTTGTCCACATGTTGGAACCTGTGGAGTGAAAGCAACTTGAGAAAAGGATTAGAAGCAGAGAATTCAGGAGCAGAGAAAGGAATTAACATCTCTCATGTGACTTCTCTGTTTTGAGTTGCTCCTTCCCAGAGATGCTTTTTACTTCTAAGATGCTGTGCAAACTATTGGAGAGAAATAATAAATACTCCATATATTTTTGTTCATCTTAGATTTTTCTAACTCATTCAAGGGAGAGGTGGTATATTTTAGGTATTCCTTGTCTTGACAACTTTGGTAACAAGTTCTGTTTCTCATAGATCTTGAAATACTTATCTACAAGGTGTGTGTGTGTGTGTGTGTAAGCGGGTGAGGGGGGGAGGGAGATTTTAAATGCTGCCTGGTCTCTGAGATGCCTGGATAATATTACATTTATTCAGGCAGGGGGACAACAGACAAGGAGTAAGTTTAGTCTCTCTTGGCATGGAGCTCCGGAGCTTCTGAAGGTACACTGAGAAGGACTCCTACTGCACTCATATCAGTGCCACCTGGCTTGATACAAGCATCCTGTTGGCATGCCAGAAATTCAAAATGGTGGGAGAGTGCAGGACTTGGAATACTTTGCCACATCCTAATAGCACTAACCAATCTGATATTGATTGAACATTAATTCTGTCCTTCACTGCACTGGAAGTACTTCCTACTAGGACAATGTGATACAACAAACAAAAGAATTATTAGCACGATTGACTTATTTGCAAATTTAAATAGCTTTGTGCTTATGCTGGGTATTTATATATGAGAAGGTGGGGTGAGGGAGGGAAGAGAAGGACATTGTACCAGATGGTTAGCTCTGCTATAAGAAATTTTATGAGGCATTGAACATTTTTAGCATATGAATTGCTCTGCAAGGTTTTAAGTCGTAAGTCATAAAGGACACTGTATTCAGGACTCTTGGCTAAACATTTCCAAACATGCAATTGCTAGAGCTTATTGCTAATTTTTCCCAAAGTTGCCACAATCCAGATGTCTGACATTCACATTTCCTTTACAGAACTATAGGAAAAAGACAGTTTCATTCTTTTAGTCATTACTGTGTAGGTTTGACAGGCTGGGAGGTGGCATGAAATTCAAGACACTGAAATGGCATACAGTGAATTAAGGAATTGTGTTGAATATAGAACTGCCAAAACAAATTAACAATAGCCATTCAAAACAAAATTAATATTAAAGTTAATTGGGATTCTTTCATTGGTGTGAAAAGTGAATTAAGAAGGGTATGTTGCTGTCTGCTGCAACCTGGTGCATCGAGATGCCCTGGCCTTCTTTCAGGCCCAGCCAGCTTGGGCATGGAATCCCAAAAATCAAGGAACATCTGTAGGACATCAGGACTAGGGGGGTGTAAAACAATTGTATGTTGAAGTGTAAACCAGGCAGAGACCAAAGTTTAGCCTCACTCACTGTCCTGAAACAAGCAAAATATGCCCACATAGACCACATCTTTGGGGTGATAGTTCTGCAATTTTTCCAACACTGTGAAGTGCCTTGTTGTGGGGTATAACAAAACAAAACAAGATTTACAAATGCTCATGGAAATTTGCAAGGAAAGCATAAAATCTAAAGGGAAACTAAAGCAAAACTGAACACACACACTACTATAAAAAGATAAATATTCAAAAATAATTAAAAATAATTAATTATGCTGTGCACCATGGAACAGCGTAGGTTTTTTTTCCAAAGGACAATAACAAGGAAGCCAAGCTAACATCTCTGGGGAGAAAGTTCTACAACCTAGGCATTGCAACACAGAAGCCCTTGTGTATATCTTCTAATATAGGTGTGCTCCTTTTAAAATTAAAACTAAGAAGCAGGGTCCATGTGGGAGGAAGAGTTTTCAAAGAGGATAATCCATAGAAGCTGAAGTTCAGAAAGCCTAAATTGAGGCCTGGCAATTTTATAGTGAGTCGTAACGGAAAGTCTAGAAATGTCTCTGTGCAATATTAGCTCCAGTGGACAATACAGGCTGAAGAAATGGGATGCTTATCTGAATAATATCATCCTCATCATCACTACCACCACCACCACAATTTTTATTATTGCTCACAACATATCCCATGCATAAATGCGAATAGGCAGTCACAGTTCACATGGCTATTATCCAGGATCACTAGGATCTTAACATAAGATATTTATTACTTATCTTGTGGGAGCAATACATTGTGATCCTAGGAACTCAGTAAATTCCTCGAGTCCCCTGACAGATTGTCTCCTTTTCCTGAAACTCTCTCAGCATAGGAAATAATAACAATTTCCTAGGCGGCTCAACTTGTTCCAATGTGCCATTAAGGTTTTACAACTGCACTATCTAAATCTAACTTCGTGTAATTTAAACTGAGTTTAATCCTCTCTATTTCTGTGAAATGAAGAAGTGCAGTCTGAACTAATGTATAACCACAAATGTTTTCTCATTGACCATCACTTCTGACTGTCAGTTGCAGTCTTTCTATGATACAAGTAACAAGTTTCATAGAACATTAACATTTTATTTATAGAAAGTACTGTAAATACATTTGTAGTTTAGACAATGTGGCCGGCTGGCTTGCTTTCTTTCAGTGCTGCCCTATGATCTATCACTGAATTCCATTTCATTTGTTGGCTATTAACCCAGCTGTTCTAATTTAATTTGAGTATATATATTTTAAGCAGCAATTTGGTTAACTGATTGACTCTAATGTCTGAATCTAACACACAAATCCTTTTTCATTCATAGTCTATTGAATCAAAAGGCTGGGAATATCAATCCTCCTGCCACTTAACTTGTATTACACCCTTGTAGTAGAAAGCTATTTGGTTGAACAGATTGGTCATTTGGAAGCAGATTATGCTGAAAGACACCCCCCCCCCCCGCCACCAGCTTTCTTGCATTTTTAATCATTTTATTATAGCAACACTTATTCCTGAATTCTTTCTCAAGGATGTTGAGTTATGAAAAATATGTTTATAGCTTATCATTTTGATGAATTATGATGCACAATGATGTGCACCCTAGTACAGTGAGCAAAGCTCAGATTTGGCCTGTGAGCCTGTTGATTCTAAAATCGACAATGGATTGTCTGACCTTAAGTCAGTCACTATTTAGATGGGGATCACCAGAGTTGCTGATCTGATAACTTTGCAAGAAACAAAATTGTGTAAAAGTGGTAATATTAAATACAGGGTTGGTTTTGGGATGACACCACAGCCAATCTGGTCTAACTGCATCATTCGTCAGCATTATCACAAGAATGAAATAAATACCACTGAAACTAAGCCTGTCAGCCTCTAAGATACAGCTGGGACTTAGCCAAGTACACATCCTAGAACTGGTGGTGCCTAAGAACTAGGATGTGCACCATAAACCTCTGCAATGGCAGACTGCTATGAAGTGTTGATTGGTGAGGTCAGATGTAAACAGGGGAAGTGGTCTTCTGTCCTTGCCTAATCCACAGAGCTGTATCACCTGCTACTGCACATCCACCAAAAGTGGTGTCCATTCTAAACATGAACTGACTATAGGTTGTCCCATCTGGATTTTGGAACAGCAGAACAGATATTTTGGGCCAATAGTTAGACAGAATGGAGGTAGACTTGTAAGACGACACTTCTGCTTTGATAAACCTAAGCAGAATGCTAGATAGTAATGAACTTCAGTGTATCGACCATGGTAGCAGAACCTCCTAATTCAGAGATGATGTGCTTCAAAGATCCAGATGCTGAAGGCAAACAACAGAAGAAAGCTGCCACCCTTTTGTCCTGTGTATGAGCTTTCTACAGTACTTTGGCTGGCTATGTTTGGATACAGAAAGTTGAACTACATGAATCTTGATATGATTGAATATATGGATCTTAAGCTGTTAGAACTTATACTTAAATTTATACTTACGGTTATCCAATAGCCGGGAAGGATCTTTATGTCTGAAATAGTAATACTGTGTGCTTTGAATTAAGTAATGTGTCTAACAGATCAAACCAATGAAGAATAAATTATCCATATGCATATGTGTGCTTGCACATGCACACAGATATATATTTTGATTTATATGAAGGAGGTGCTACACTTAAATGACCTTAAATGAAGTACAGCATCATCATGCTTCAGTCAGATGGCACTCAGATACTAACTATCCAGTTTGCCCATTTTCTTGTAGGTCTGTTAGATGTTATAGGAATGCATTCTTGCTGTTGATAACATCTCTCCCAGTTTTCTCCCATGCAACTAGTGTTGGGAACATATGATGTGACAGCATGGCGCATTTCTCTCTTTTTTAAAAAGATCTTACA